TTTTTTTGGGTATTTTGAAGCTCATATGTACATTATCACAGGATAACATAGTATATTTCAAGTATTCTCAGAACAATCCAAAATCCAACACCTAGATGAACTTTTGCTACAACTACTTATTGCATTTATTAATTCAGTCAGCAGACCATCATGTGGGCTGTATCTGATGTCAAATTGCAATTTCTGTCACCATTCACACAAATATAATGCTGGTGGTATTGCTGTAGAAGGCCAATATGCTCTTATTTTTCTATAGCAGAGGATGAGACCAGAGAATCTAGAATCCAGTGTTCATGCCCCTCTGCTACCCGAGGTCCAACCAGTTGATGATAATACGTCTAATGAAGGTGGATCGATTTCTGGTGCGATATTCAACATCTCGACTGGCATGATCGGTGCCGGGATTATGTCGATTCCCGCAACTTTCAAGGTTCTGGGCGTAATCCCGAGCTTTATAGTGATCTTAATCATCGGTTTCTTCGTGGATGTCACTGTGGAGTTCCTATTGAAATATACCCAGTCAGGCGAGTCTAGTACCTATGGCGAGTTGATGGCCGAGTCATTTGGAAAGTTTGGATCTATTGCACTTCAAGTTTGTGTTATGATTACCAATCTTGGTGCTTTGATAATCTATTTGATTATCATTGGTAAGCAACAATCTATTTATATTTATTAGCATTCAGCATAAATTGATTCTCATAATTCATTAGATGCAATTTGTTGATTACGTCACTTATTTTATCTTTTGAAATTGTTTATATGATCTCAGACTAATATTTTTTCAATTTGATGATTTACAGGAGATGTCCTCTCAGGAAACAAATCTGAAGGGTCATTGCACTTGGGCATCTTACAGGAATGGTTTGGCATCCACTGGTGGAACTCGCGTGCATGCTCTCTTGTTTTCATTGTACTCTTTGTTCTACTTCCGTTACTCCTTTTCCGGCGCATAGGTTAGTGATGTTACTTTATAAGGAATATACAATATTGCGGCCTTCTTGTTATTCATTTATTCTTATTTTACATTTATGTTGCTTGGTCTATAAGTTTATCGTCAACACTTAGATCTACGTCCATTCATAAGGGAGTTTGTTTTAAATTAATTTTACTTATTTCAACCTTAGCAAAGATGATTTTGGATCAGATCTTGAACAACCTATGGAACAAAATAAACAGATTTTCTTAGAATCAGCATGAACGAATGACTAACGCTTTTACAGCTTGGTATCTACAGATTCCTTGAGGCATGCCTCAGCTATATCTGTGCTACTGGCAGCATTTTTTGTTGCCATCTGCTCGGTGATGGCAATACATGCAATGTGGGTCGGGAAAACACAAAGACCAAGGCTGGGACCGGACTTTGCAAGTGGTGTCTCATTTTTTGACCTCTTTACCACCATTCCAATCTTTGCAACAGCCTTTGGATGCCATGTAAATGGTAAGATTACAAGAGCTTATGAAGATAATGGCCCTTTCTTCTTTCGGCTTCTATAATTGTGGATTTGAGGTCAAAGAACTGATAAGCATATATCCAAGAATGGACAGATTATTCTTGCTTCATTTTGTGAAATAATATGATCACATAACCTGAATTTTTAAAATTAATCAAGAATGTTTAAGAATATACAGCAAAACACACGTGACCTGATTCCCAAGAATTTATCATCAAAATCATTTATTCATAGCGCTTGGCTCATGTCTTGACTATAAATCGACGTGTGCAGTTCATCCTGTCAGAGCAGAGCTTGGTAGACCTTCCGACATGAGCTTAGCAGTCCGAATCTCTCTAGCGCTATGTGTTGTAATTTACTTTGCTGTTGGCTTCTTTGGGTACTTACTGTTTGGGGATTCAATCATGGCCGACATGCTTGTGAACTTCGATAAAATTTCGGATTCCCTTGTTGGTACAATTCTCAACGATACAGTAAGGTTAAGTTATGCAATTCACCTCATGCTGGTTTTTCCTGTGATGAACTACTCATTAAGGGTTAACGTGGACGAATTACTATTTCCTAAGAGACCTGCAGGAAGTGTGAGATTTTTATCTCTTACGTGTGTTCTACTTGGATTCATGTACTTGGCAGCAATAGCTATTCCGAACATATGGTATTTCTTCCAGTTTATGGGGACAACGACTGTCATGTGCCTCATGTTCATATTCCCGAGCTCAATCATTCTTAGGTACGGACATGTTTCATAGTCTCACTCGTCATGGTAAAATGGAAAAGAGGAGGTAGAAGATTTAGAACTTGTTTGGCCGTGCTTAAAAGCAAGTGAAACTACCTTTTTAAGTTACTTATTTTCTTAAACATGATTTTTCAAAGTTATTATTGCAATGAGAAATTTCAAGCGCAACCAAACATTCTCTTAAGTCTTGATTTGTGGAAAAGCAACTTTGCTATTAGTTAAGGTCCTTTTGCCAATCATGTGTGGCAAAATAAGTAACTTTGTCTTACTTAAAAGCACAGCCAAACATGCTAAAGCCTTTTTATAGTTGCCTGATTATATATTAGTTTCAACTCCTCTCTATCGTTCCTGTCTCACCTCGTAAATTTTTTACAGAGATGTGCATAGTGTATCTACCAGTCGGGATAAGGTATTGGCAGTATTGGTGATCATGCTAGCTGTTGGGACTAGTTTGGTTGCCATTTTCTCAAATCTCTCCGATTACTTTGGCAAATAACTTTGAGTGTCACCGGCCACTATCTCTAGGAGCGGATTGATGTTGAACGAGCTTAATTTTCATTTCTTTAAATCCGTTGTATTGGAAGAAATGATTCTTTCTTATGGCAATTGATGTTGATCAGTTTTTAATTACTTCAGAAATTTGGAGGAACGTCCTCTATTATGTTGTTGTAGTCAATGGATGATTTGTTTTGAATTTTATATTTGAACGGAGCAATGCTAATTAGCACCGCTAGTGTTACAACACCAATTAGGTGACACAAGTGTCAGTTGATGAATAACCTAATTTTACTTCTAATTTCATCTGTCACAAAAATCGGGGCTCTAGTATCATTGGTATTAAATAGCATTATTCATTTTGAACAATAGTGATTGGATTGGATGATCCCTTCAATGAACGCTTAAAGTTTGCTTCCGACTCCCACTTTGTATATTCATTTACAAAGAATTGCCATTTTGTACAAGAATTTTGGTATTTGTACACGCCTGTGTACATAAATGTTGGTAGCATTTTTGTTAGGTTAGAGAAGATAATTAATGAATTTTATTGTATAGTTTTACAAAAGTTTATTCTCAACGCTATCTATATCTTCTCATGTCAAGACACAATTAGCTTATCAACTTATCATCATAATTTTTGTTTGTTGTACTCAATGTTCTTACTCTTGGTTCATTGTCGCATTTTATTTTATTTATTTATTTTTTTTTTTCCAATTTTTGGTCACATTTTTATTATCAACATTCCTTTAATTACCACACTCAATTTCATGTTTATGAAATCTTCCTTGTTTCTAGATACGCACGCATACTTCAATTATAAAATCATTTCATCTCATTTTCAATACAAGTGAAGGATATTTGGCTAATAAAGAAAACGATAGCGGAAAAAATCCGTATATGTTGTTTAGATTGATCAAATGTTAAAAAATAAAAAGTCAGAATCATTCACGCCACATATAATTCAAACCTATTATCACATAAATCGATGATGATCATCCCTTTTAAATCAGTTGCCTACACGAGAATGCGATGTTCATAATTTGAATCCATTTGAAATCCCTTTTGCCAACTCATAACATTTCAGATTTGCCTTCACAATACATGCTGTCTTTTGTTGTTATCTCCATGCATGTTCTTAAGAATGTTATATTTTTAATTGAACAAAATTGATATGATAATGCTGAGATGCATTTGTTTGAAATATTTCGAGCACAACTAAATTATATTTTTTTTTAAAATTACGTTATCTAAAAGGTTAACCAACGAATTAATTTCTCTTAACATAAGTTTTCTTCACTTTTATTCAATTATGGTGAGTAGTTGCTACTTTAAATAAAAAGTAATACTATTTACAGTCGCTCACTGCGGTAGTCTACGTGGTATACACATGGCATGTGATTATTTGGTGCATTAATGTGGTAATTTTTTTTATTCATTAATGCATCAAATAACCACCTGTCATGTGTATGCCACGTAGGGCGAATGTCGCAGTGAACGACTGCAAATAACATTATTCTTAAATAAATTAGTAATGCTTCTTAATAAGTTGTTTTCACTGTCTTTAAAAGAAGCTTTGAAAGAATCACAACAAAAGCGATCAAATTCTATTACTTGGGTGAAAATGTGCACCTTATCTAATCGACACGCGTTACTAGTAAGATCCACTGAGACAGAGTCCATTGTTGGACTTAGGTCCACGATATCTAATTTATTAGGAGATCAAAATCCGTAACTCTCTCCAAGTAGCTATTATATAGAACTTTCTAGTAAAAGATACATTTGTTAAATATTGGTCCACTAGTTAAGGATCACAAATTTCAAAGAGGCATTTGCAAAAATGTCTAGTTTTACACATATCAATTAAAAAACGTTCACTTTTAATAATTTTTGCAAAAATGATTAAATTTAATATCAAATTCTCTATTTTATCCTTAATGAAAGAATAAATAATTTCATATTGTACATGTCAAATCACAATTAGTGATAGACACAGAAATATCGAGAACAACATTTAAAGTGTTGAAAAATATCATGTTAGGAATGAAATATCATTCAAGACATTTACTATGTCGAGAATCGAAAACATTTAATATTGTGATTTAATATGTGTATTTTTGAAATATAAACGGATTCAAATATCGAGAATAACATTTGAAATGTCTAGAACATCATTTTAATGTAGTTTCTCATGAAAGCTACTTAGGGGTATTTTGTCCAAATAATTGCAAAAATGGACATTGAAAAATTATGGACATTTTTGCATATGACTACGTGAAAATGGATATTTTTTGTAATTTCCTCAATTTCAAATTCAGAATCGTTTTGACTTTTTCCGTAAATATCATTTATGACTTTACTTTTTTCTTCATGTTTTGACTTGTTTCTTGACCTAAACACTTTTAACAAGGAGTAATGCTATTTAGTCATATTAGGTTTCAACCCCAATTTAAGTGGTAATAACGTGACATTAATTGATAAATAGAATTAAATAATTTATTTAATTTCACATTTAATGCTCATCTTGTTTGCATGAACCTCGTATTTAAGAAAGAGCATAAAAAACCTAAATTTTCATGATTAAAACGAGTGATTATAATAAGTTAAGCAGACAGGATTGAAGAAAAGTCACATAATGCACTCCCCCAAATCTCCGTCTAAATACATCTTCTATTAGAACTTCGTTACCTTTTCCATCCTAATTGTCATACCTGTCACGTACAATGTAATTCCATAATTACCCTTCTTTCAACACCCCAAAGAATTTTGCAATTTGGTCATTTCACTTGCTCAATAATGCATGTGCGCTGGCTTATCATACATGTGCATTCAAGAATTAGAATGCAAACAACGTTCAAACAGCAACTTGAAAACATTTCCACGTCATGGCTCTGGCCAACCGTGGCACCGGACCTGAGGTCCCTCTCCTCCCGGACATCGTTGCCGGGAAACGTGCTTCGATTCCCGGCGCAGTTTTTAA